CAGACTCTGAGGAAAAGTCCATCAGACTTTGTTGATGCCTTTGGAGATTGTGAATCCTCTCCTGAGGTAGGAACAGCTGTCACATAAAGTTTTACTCTTTTGAAATGTCATAATGCAGGCCATACCTAACAGATTTTACTTCAGAATTTGATCAGTCAGATGGCTTCCTTGAGGCAGGGCCCACATTATGCTTTTCTAGTTTTGGATTCACCACTGTTGTACCTGTTCTTACCATTGTTGTAGTTGTTGTTCTCCTTTTTCAATCTGAACTGATAATTAGAGTCACAGTCGATTTATACAGGCATATGAAGAATAAGAATGGTCTTTTTTTCTTTCAGCCTTCCTGGCTAGGCAACAAGCTACATGTTATGCAAGAAGTTTGAGTTATGTTTCTCCATTAATGCAAAAACTTTAAGTCAACCTTGTTACACTGCAAATTTACTTGTGCAAATTTTGGCAATCTACGTCTGGGAAGGTGCATTTAAATGTTTAAATGTATTTTCATTGGCCTTTTATGGCCATCCATTAGCTAATTGCTGCGTAATGGTGTTTTTACTAGTGAGGGATTACTTTCATTATTTTACTTAATAACATGGGTTTTCAATACATTCTATAATGCAGGATGCATACACAATGCATATTTTCATAATATTTCTTTTATATATGTATATATTTTCTGTGTCTATTGACTTATTTTACACCTACTCAGGTAAATTTTGTTTGCCCAATGTTTGGGGATTTGGAGCTGTAGTTGCCTAATCCTAAAGAATATCCAGATGCCACATGCAGTTTTACTTTTACATTCTGACACATCAGTGAGCGGGCATGTAATCAAACCTGGTTTAGTCCATGCAATACACATGTAACATCTTAAAATCTCTTAGATTGCTGAATAATACAATTTAGGACCACTTGTTACAGTTTCTTTTTTTTTGGCAAATGACTTTGAGTCAACAGAAGCAAGCTCTTACCTTTGATGCTCAGTGAGGCAAACAGGAAATATTGATCACTGAATGGCACTGGTGCTGTCAAACTAATGCCTTTTTTTGTATATGTTTTTTGTCAGTTGTGTAGCTATGATGTTTGAACATTATGTTTCAGTGACGAAGATTTTCATCATCAGTTATTGAAAAGGTGTGTTTTTTCAGTGAGTCTGAAATGTCCATCATAGTTGACCTTTCTTGTCCTGCCACTGGCCTGCAGACATTCTTTTGTTGTTTATTGCTTTGCATTTTTGCATTAGTTTATTGTGAAGTGTTGAGGGGGAAAGTTTTTGTCTTCTTTTCAGAACTTGCATTAGTTATTTCATAATAAGAGACCTAAGCTTTCTTTTCTATCATGCATTTGCAGTACACTATGCAAGAATCCATTTTATGAGCCTAAAAGTTGTTGTTTTTGAAAATGCATGCATAAGTTGGGGTTCAACTTCTCGTTTTAATAGGTCACTGCTTTCATGTCTGATTATGGATGAGATTGCTGTTCTCTTGGTTATTCGGCTGTATTTTGTTCCAATCATAGACCTATGCTGAATGTGACAATAGATAATGATTTTTGTGTTCACAGTTTATGGTAATCTGTTTAAAAAGTTCATTAAAACAATATCATCACTGTCTTCCAGCTAGTAAATTTAAGCCCAATACATATTTATCAAGAATACAACTTGTAATATTTGATTTTGATATTTTTAGTGGATTTTACAAGTTTAGTATTATTCAGCCTTCTTCTTATCTGATTCACAAATTGGAAAATCCAGCATTAATTGAATTTGCAAACACTTCATAATGATATTTTATATCCCAAAACACTGAGTAAATCTGTTTGTGTGCTTCTCTTTTACTTTTCTTGGTCACTTCTTTGTCTTATTTTGTGATGCAAAGAGAGGTCATGCTGGTAGAGTCTGCTTCTAGGATGGTTGTTTACGGCTTTGTGTTGTGTGTGATTGCTATTTGACCTTACCCTGTTCAGTTCTGTTTCATGGCACAAAGATCTGTTGTTTCTTTATACTTTTACTGTCAATTGCTGTGCACAATGTTTTATTTGTAACAGACTACTGACTTTTGAATGGAAATGCAGCCTTGAATTTTGGAGTCGTGTCTTTTGCAGTATAACACACATTCTAATAGTATTTGTTGTACAGATGGCTTATGAAAAAGGCAATGCAGAAAACTGTATTCACTTGTCAAACAACATTGCTGCCACTACAGAGAAGTGACACAAGACACACACACACACAGGGTAAGACCATCAAAACAGATGCTTGGCCATTCATACTAGTAGTTTACTTTGTCGTCACAACATTAAATGAAGGACACCAGCAGATAACAAGTTAAACCTTGAGATAAGAAGTGACAGTGTCAGCTTTTTGAGTTTGCAGTGCTATAACTGATTGAAACTCTTGGTGTCACTGTCCACCAACAAAGGCAGAAGGAAGGCATTGCTTTATCCATTCTTTTCCACCATTGCAAAGCGTTATTGTGGTGCGACGTGTCTCTCGGTTCAGGACATTATAAAAGACCAACCTTGTGCTTATATTCGGCTTCTTCATGAATATACAACGAGGAATATAACCGTCTTTCAGAACTTTGAAATATTTTGCCACGGCAGGATGGAAATCTGCGCGATCCTGGGGAAAACATTCGAAAGAGGATTTATTATGAACCGCTATTGTGTCGTTTTCCTTTTCATCAGCCTGCGTTTCGCACACGGAGATGTGAGCTACTCTGTCGCAGAGGAGATGAAACGCGGATCCGTGATTGGAAATATAGCCAAAGATCTCGGCCTCGGGATCTCCACACTTTCCTCGCGTAAAGCTCGCATTGATACTGACGGGAATGACAAAAGGTACTGTGATATTAAGCTGAGCACCGGGGATTTGATTGTCGCTGACAGGATCGACAGGGAAAGCCTTTGTGGAAAGAAGGCCACTTGCGTTTTGAAAGAGGAGCTTGTTTTGGAAAACCCTTTGGAGCTTCAGCGCATCAGTATCCATGTGCAAGATATAAACGACAACGCCCCGGAATTCAGTGAGGACTTGATTTCATTTGAAATAAGAGAATCAGCCGACAAAGGAGCCAGGTTCTTACTTACTGAAGCCCACGATGCGGATATCGGTACAAATACAGTGCAAAGCTACAATTTACAAACTAATGAGCATTTTACTATTAATGTAGATGCAGGTGCCAGTGGAAGAAAACACCCCGAATTGGTTTTAGTCAAAGAATTAGATCGAGAGCAAGAAAAAGAACTGAAATTAGTGCTAACAGCTCTAGATGGAGGCTCCCCTCAGAGATCAGGGACTGTAGTTATTCATGTCACTGTACTGGATGCTAATGATAACGCCCCAGTGTTCAGTCAGGCCGTTTATAAAGCCAGTCTGCCTGAAAACTCTCCTTTAGATACTGTTGTGGTTACAGTGAGCGCAACTGATGCCGACGCAGGACCCAACGGTGATATTACCTATAATTTTGATCATGTGTCTGATGACCATGTCTCTTTGTTCTCGCTTGATCATAAGACAGGAGAAATAAAAGTAATCGGCTCTATTGATTATGAAACGGAGACTTCGATTGAACTGCGTGTAAGAGCAAAAGACGGACCAGGTCTTACCTCGTATTGTACAGTAAT